GGGAGAGGGAGAGGGAGAGGGAGAGAGAGATCTATGGCAGGAGTGAGAGCTGGGCCGGGGGTCATGAGGGCAGGAGAACTGCCCATGTTCATCACCAGCTGCTGCACTCAGGAGACCTGGCCCTGTACCTTGCCTGGGCAGCAGCATGAAGCTGGCCTTGGTTGTTATAATAAAATAGAATATATGTAATATATAAGATTATCATAGACTAATGTAATAAAAGAAGAAAAAATATAGAACAAGATGACAGATATATACCATTGTATGAGCAAACACATCAAATTAAAATGGACTAAGTTAATTTTAAGATTGTCAAAAATAATTACAGTTAAAAGGTATGAATATACAAACACAATAAAACAGCAATTACATTGATATTAAATACTTTTAAGGTATAATTATGTAGAAATACTTTTAAAATAAGGATGTGAATACTGGTCTTGTAAAGAACTCAAGTTCAGTTCCCAACACTCACATGGGACAGTTCACAACCTTCTCTAACTCTAGGTACTAAGGATCTAACTCATTCTCGTGAACTCCATTGGCACCCATATGCAAATGCACATATTTGTACACTGACACACACGTACATGTAATTAACAGCACAATAAATATTTTAAATATATGTATAAGGATGTGAAAATGAGAAGGAGGGAAAAGAGAGAGCAACATATACCCCCTGAATAAAGATATTTGTGATGACTATGAGCAATAAGCTTGTCCTTCCCGTGTTTAGCCACTAAACAAAAGAACATAACAACTACTTGTGTAGCATTTAATTTCATTACCTATTATAAAGAATATGGAGGTGATTAAAGTATATGGGAGTGGGGATTTGCAGGTTTAATATTTGCAGTGTTCCTGAAACAAATCTTCTATGTGTAGAGAATGACAGCTGTATATGAAATATCTGATATATAATTTAATTATATTCTATAAATATTATTCTAATGAAAATGGAAGGCAATTAAAATGCCCACCGAAACAATAGATTAGAGAAGGTAAACCTGTCATCCAATAATGGTAACACTTAACTAACCAGGGAGATGTTCTGATTTTAAAGTCCATGTAAGAACAAAAATGAATAAAACATAATAAACAAACACATGGATAGTTATGCAAAGATAAATAAGCATGTATACATTTGTGAAGCTGATTTAAAACTTTCTTTTAATATATGGAAGCAAGAAGAGAGGAAACACACACATGCAAACACACACACACACACACACACACACACACACACACACACTGGGATCAGGATGTAGAAGATCTGAACATGCTTGGCAAACTTGACTTAATGGAAGCTTGACCCAGTGTTACCCTGTTTCTCACTGTAGCTGAATCTCTATTATTATCAAGGATTCACAAAACCTTTAGTGAACCAGAACACATAGTGAGTGGTTAAGTGAGTCTCAGCACACTTTAAATATCTGAACTCTTACAGAGCATGTTCATTGAGCATATTTAGAATTATAATAAACAAAATGCTAGCCTAAAAACCTGTTAAAAAATAAACGAATTATAACAATCAAAAATAGCCTGAAAATGTGTTCAAAAATAAAACAGCACACCTCTAAATAGCTCATGATGTAAAGAAGATATTACAATAGAGCATAGAAAACATATTAAACAGAAAGATGAAAACTATCTTCAAGTCAAAGATGTGGTGCATACTGAAAGTAGCGGTTAAGGTGCTGTGTCTGAACCCATGGCTGTGGCCAAGGTCATTTCTGGTTTTTAACATTATTGTGTAGCAATTTCATAACTCTGATTTCCTCATGTTGTGCTCTGATCCCTTTTGCATCAGATCTACTAGAAATCTCGGAAATAGGTATCATGATTTAGTTCCCAATTTTTCTCGGCATCATCTGTTTAAGACCACCCTTTTCACATAAATTCACCTTGGAGTCTCTGTGAGAACATCTTACCCAGGTGGATCTGATCTCTCATCACACTATTTTAATTATTATAGCTATTGAAGTCTTGAAGTTGCTTGATGTCTGTTCTAATTAGATTGTCTATGTCAATGTGAAGTTGGGTCTTCTGACAATTTCTGTGTCTGTACTATATCCACTTTAAATATTGATAACAATATCCACATAGTGATTCACTGGAAGATTGTTTGGGCAAATGTACCATTTTCCCTCAGTAATAAGGCTCTAAGTAATCTGAAACTTGAATGGGAGTGAACATTTTTCCTTTAATGGTACTTGCTTTATATATCCTCTGCCTTTCCAATGGCAGACACAATCACATTTCTCCAAAATGCCTTAAAACCTTTATCAGTCAAACAGGTAAAGTCCTTATTGCACATGAATATTTAGACAGAACTGTTCCCAATAGTCAGTTTACAAGCTGAGTATGGTTATGTGGGACATAGGTTTTGAGTAACTCCCAAATATCACAAAGAACACTTAGACTTTCACTGCCCCTGCGTTTTCTCTTTAGCCTTTTTATCAATAGGTTAAACTTTATCATTTAAGCTAATAATTCAAATGTAGGTAGAAATCATGGAACTCCTGGAATAAAGGATGCTAGTCATATGTAAAGAAATATAAACGTGTGAGCAAATGACTGAAATATAAAGGAGGAATTTAAAACACATTTTACAATGTACTGAGGTTCCTAAGTAGGGCTCCATGTTCTCGGTCTAAAATGAGAGCAAGATTAAAGGAGTCCTGTTAAAAAAGGTGTTCCCGAGGATTACAGAGTAGGTCATTTAGTAAGATGAGTGGTAGGTTCCTAATAACCTCTCTAGTAGGAGACAAGTCTTGCTTTGGTCCACAGGCTTAGGTCCTCTTGCGGAGAGAGCAGTTTCTGAGGTTATAAGAAAAAGGGATGTCTGCAAGCTGGAGGCCTTCTACACAATAAGATTTGTTTTAAGATTATTTTCTTTTTTTTTTTTTAGATATTAGTAATATGTTGTTTCTTGAAATAGTTCTCAAACAAGCCACATATTCTTGGAGTGCCAGTTTTTAAGAAAAGATACTCATGAACATTTCTTTTGGTTTCATGGAGCACCTGTGAGAGTCCTGATGACGGAAGGTTACCATTGCCCATGTTTTCATTGACACAGAAGTAATGGAGTTGCCTCTGTCTGTCCTGACACTTGTTTCTTCTAGCTTGTTTCTGACCTCTATCTTGCCATGTAGTTTTTCTGAGCACCTGCATGTTCTTAACTCCTCTGTGTTAGATGCTTCAT